TTACTTCATGAAATCGACTACAACATTTTTTTATAAGTAAATTAACACTTGCTCACGTATTCTTTTCTGAAGATTCCCTTTTTTCCCCCTGTTGCAAGGAAAACGAAATAAAAAACAGTACACACCTGATACAGTTGACGACGTGTGATGAATTACTTGAAAACAAACTTCAAAGGCTCCTGGATGTGTTCACTGGACTTGAACTGGAGTTGTACACTTCAAAAATAACGTGAAGCTCTTGACTCCGGGAGTCGCTTTGTTTTATGCACCTAAATGTTAGTATGTTATGAGAGGCAATCCGCATTTTCGATTCAGTCCGCTTGTAATTTAGGCGTGCAGCCAAAAATGGGGTGTTTTTTTTTAAAGAAGAAGAGAGTTAGAAGGTTATCAACTTATTATTTAGAGAAGATTTTCGAAATCAAATCCCAGGCGATCCCCCAATTATTTCTGTGGGAGTCCGAATAAATCTTCGAATAAAAATCAGACTCTTCAGAAGGCGGGATTTTAGATTGGCGAGGTGGTTTGTCTAGGGGTAAATATTTAAGGGTGAGTGATGAATTATTAATTGAATCTAAGTCATTTAAACACAAATACTTCAAAGTAAAAGAGAATTTATTTAAAGTTAAAGGGAAATATTTACAAAAAGGGGATAATTACAAAGAGAAAGAAATTCAGGAATTAGGTTAATTAAAAGTTGAGTTATACCTTTAGAAGACGGGGAAATAAACCTTTCTCATTCTTGGATGTTAGGACTGGTGGTGCCGCGCTGGGCGCGGAAATGCGGTAAAGACGCGACGTGTTGAACAAGCAGTGGTTAGTAGGCCTCTGCCGAAAAATTATTCAAGCCGGAGCTACGAAAGCTCACTAGATGGCGTTGCTTCGGAATGCAGTAATAAATAAAATTGAGATTTATGGTCCTCTGAAAAGGATATGACTCAACCTTTTAACAAATGTTTCAAAGGGAAAATCCTACATATATATAATATAATATATAATTATTATATATATATATATAATATATAATTATATATATATATATAATTATATATATAATTATATAATTATATATATATAATAATATATAATTTTATATATATATATATATATATATATATATATATATATATATATATATATATATATATATATATATATATATATATATATATATATAGTCTTATTCTCTACAAACAAGAGATAAACACCCAACAATCACGTTCGAAAAACACATAGACAATAGGAAAATCACACAATGAAGGACACATGAGCAACCGAGATTAAAATTATAAAATGGATGCTGCAGTATTATAAACATTGCTGACTTAGGACAGCTAAATAAAATAATTTATATAAAAATGGGGTTGAGCATGTTTTTTGGCCAGCCAACCTTCCCTCTTTATGTGAATAATACTGCGCAAAAACCTGTTTAAAGTAATGGATAGGAATATCTAAATCCATTTCAAGATAGAGGTAACTTAACTAAAAATTGCACTTGAAAATGCAGAGCCCGCACTAAATCTGAGTACAATAAATAAGTTATTGCCAGATTCTTGCCCCTAATGTAAATTCAAAGCATGTGAATGGCTAAAATGTAGCACTTAACAAAAGTATAAAAAGAATAGGAACAAAAATTAACAAGAGATTTACGAATTACATAACTTTAGTGACACTAGAGTATATGTAAATTAAATAATAATAAGTAATTTTAAATAACATTAGAAAATGGAGGTAAATATAACTATGAATTATGTAAATTTATAGTAATAAAATATTATTAATCTAAGAATTTTTAATCCTTACTATTTTGAATAGCTTTATTCATATAACTATTAATAAAATTAATTGGGTATTTCTGATTTAAGCAAAATTTAGTAAAATGTTTGTAGTTATTTATTATTTCTGATCTTTTTTACACCAGAAATTTATTGCGTTGTATATAATTAATAACAATATTTCTGAATATAGAAATATGTACATTACTCTCCCAATGCGGAACTTTTATAATATTGAAATTAAAATATTCTCTTTTATCATAAATATTAGAAACTATTACATTATCTATGAATTTGATATGTATGTCAAGAAAATTTGCTTCATTGTTTTTACTATTTGTCTGTATTAAATTAAGATATTGTGGATAAAAATTAGTGTTAGGTATAAAATTGACTTTCTTGCCAAAAATGATTATGTCATCTATATAACGAAAAATATAATGTTTAAAATTATTAATGTAACTACTTTCAAAATAATGTAAGTATAAATTGGCAAGACAGTTGCTCGCAGGGCCACCTTGTGGCAAACCTTTAATCTGCAGATAATAGTTACCCTTATGAAATATATAGTTCTCTTTAAGTACAATCCTAAGTAGTGAACTAAATCTATCATAATTAACATAGTTAAATAAATTATCTTTATGTAAATTTACAAATATATTAATCATATCATCAATATTAATAGAGTTAAAAATATCTTCAAAATCTAAACTATAAGCTGAATAAATCTTCTTATCTTTCATTTGTTCAATAAGTGATTTACTATTTTTAAGTACATACATATACATATACATATACATTATACATATAAAATTGGTTGTAAAAAATACGACCTTGTAAAAAATGTCTTTTGACGATTAAAAATAAAATGAAGAATACTGCTGAACTTAATTTGTTTTTCATTGAAGCAACGGATTAATTTAAGAACCAACTATATTATTTCAACTATTTATTTAAGTATATTTTCTCTTTAGGAGTATTTCGAAATTCTACCCTATAAAGATGTAAAATCAAAGTATTTTGCATCATACACTACTAATATCTATTTAAAGTGTCCTATTGAAAAGTGCATATGAGAATGCAGACGCTGATTAAGAAGCGCACCAAAATATTGTGCAAGAGAGGTATTGTTCAATTATTTTTGAAATGCTGCCCCTGGTTTCATATTCGAACAAAATGCTTGTCCCTTGTTAATAACAGATAATTCGAGTGTTTGGGTCCACGCCATCAAAACTAACACAGGTCTAATACATCAAACGAAATGAATTTGTGATTTTTTCATTACTTTGCGTGAGTTTGTTTTCGCCTTTACAAAGATTGGAGATTTCTCGAAGAGATATTTCAAGGTATTTTTATCATCACAACTATTTCTGCATTATTTGAATTGTTTTATTGAGTGCAATGATTTCCATAAATACAAAATTTAAGATTAATTTCACAAATTTAATTTTGTACACATATATTTTTCAAATTGTGCGTAACTATATCCTTATGTTGACTTCTTTGAAAATTAAAATGGTTTTTATATAAGATTTACTTTGCACTAATTTTAATCTATTTTCCACAAACTAGTTATTAGAAAAAATGTGAAAAGGGTCACTTTACTGCATTTATCGTATTGCTTGCAACCTAGAAAAAACATGATACGGTAAAAATGAATTCACATATACATAAAAAAATAAAAGTTAGATAACTTTACTTAACAAGATGCATTATCCTAAAAATGACCAAAATATTGAGAAAAAAAATTATTGCTTCATTTTAATTGCACAACTTTTCTTAACAGGCGTACAAAATTTCGTAGTTCTGTCTACACTATTTAGACCAAGGGTACTAAAACTTTATTTCTGATGGGTCGCATACATATGTCAGCTATTTTACACGGGCGCATACATATGTTAGTTATTTCACGCGGACCGCAACATCAGGATAAATAGCGGAGGGGGGACAGAAATGCTTTAAGACCAAGATAACATTGGAAATTTAAAATGTGGAGAATTGATCAAAAAATTATATAACTCCTGTTTTGCTTTCTTTTAATTATTGTATTTTATATATGTCTTAATTTTGTCACTAACGCTAAATTAGCAGCATTTAAGAAACACTCCTTCACAATTTCTGCATCAGTAAAGGGTTTCATATGATTACCAATACTGTAACAAACTTCATAGGATGTCTTTGTTACCGCTGAGATATTACCACCGACAAAACACTTTGTTGCTGTTGCAAAGATTATCCAAGAAAGCCTATTTATCCCCTCTTGAAAGAGATCTTCGAGAAAAGGTGTCATTGAATGATTCCTGCTTATTGGTATTTTTAAATACAGTACATTCATGCCAAATCAAACAATGACTGATCCATGTTTGTTTTTTTCTACAAAATAGTCAACCTCCCAATCGTCTTGAAACGATTTATTTTTTTCGAATATTTTTCGCTTATATGATATGAAAGGTATAGTTAAAAATTTGTTCCATCCATAAAATGGTTGCTACTCCACTGTTGTCTATTATCACTAACCGTAACCGTTCCGAAAAGGAAAAGAATATCAGTTCGTAGCCGTATGACACCGACAGCAAAAAGCAAAATTGATGTATTTGATCTGTTGGCGAAGAATTTCCCACCAAAATTTTCCTACAATGTAAGTAAATTTCTCAGAGCAGTGGGCCATGAAGGGGCCCCTCAAAAAGTCTCGGTGGGCCGCAGGTTGAGAATCGCTGATTCAGCCGCTTATTGAACTTTATTTTAACAGTATGTCGAAGAGAAGACCAAAACTAGAACGCGTGAGGTCTACATTTTGCACTTTCACTAATTTAACTGACCTGGAAAACTTTAAATGTCATTTCCTCAGCTTTTTATCCCTCACGATAACCGTGTGTTTCAAGCAAGGTTTCTTATGGTACTTTTTTCGAATTCCGGTTTTCTTCCTAAACAAGTAATATAAAACAAGTAATATAAAAAAAACTAAGTCAATTCCTAGTTATGTCAACAAAGATAAAGTTTTATTTTTGTTTATTTTATTAAATGATTACAATTAATATAAATATGTATATACATATAACAGAATCACAACATTAAGGGGTAAAATAGAAAGCGATTTTTTCCTTGCAATTTTCCATTTTCCTTTTTACATTCCTTTATTTTTGTTTGTTACAATTTATTCATAAATTAAATTTCATTATTCCAAAAAAATAGCATACTAAAAAGAAATCCCATTCTCAGAAATTAGGTCATCCCCGGTGCGATTCGAACCCATGCCCTTTGAATTAGGTGTCCAACGCGCTATCCATTGCGCTACAGGAACACAACGAGAAAATTTCCTTTTTATATATGGTGTTGGAATATTAATTTTATTTGTAACTATTTATATTCATTAATTACATGGAATAAATTAACTAATATTTGAAAAAACTGTATTAACATCAAGTGTCATCCACTACAAGCTTAGAAAAATGCATTTGAACTTCAGTGGATGAATAAAAAGTATTTTATTAATGATGGAAAATTTGAACAACATATATATATAGAGAGAGAGAGGGAGGGAGGGAGATGTGACTAATAGTAAGAATTGACAAAAATGTGTCGTTTCAGTTCCGATTTTCGTTCCGCCAAATATAATGGTTTTTGATTCAGTTCCGAATGAATAATTTTATATTATGTGTATATAACCGAGAGCTTCTTTTAAAATTTCAATATTCGCGACCCAATATTCAATCCTAATTTTCATCGCGCCCCCCGCATACAATAACAATGTATTGAACTCAATAATACTACACTTTGATGATAAAACTACGATACAATTTTAACCTCTTAAGTGCCACCGGTGAATATAAATGTCTCTCTCAGCCAAAGCGTTCATTCCTATAGATTCGTCTTAACGAAGTACGATCTTTTCTGTGCACTGCTATCCATACAATGATTCCGAAGTCTTTGGAATGCAATCAAAGCACCTTGAAAATGTTTCCGAAGAATTTACTTATTTTTTATTATTTGCTTCTTTATTGCTTCATCCACCCCCTGTCCATCCCCTACGTGCGAAACGGTTGGCAGTGGGAAGCGATCGCGCGTCACTTTGAATCGGCAATCAATAAATTCATTCTAAGCCGTACAAAGATAAGCGATAATTTTTTTTTTATAAATAACAATCCCATGGGTCGCTGGCAGTTATTAAACTTGTTCTTAATTTATTATTCTTAAATTAATTATAAAATACATTGTCAAGCACTAATACATTTATAAGTGTAATATATCAGTGTAAATGTGTATTTTATTTTTTTATTATGTCAGAACATATTTTGTTTGTTTACTTTCCGTAAATTAATAATTTTTTATTATCTTTTGTTTTTGACTTTTCAATATCCTCGTGCACCCCTCGTAGAGATGTCACGCCCCCAAAAGGGGCGTGCCCCACAGTTTGAGTAACACTGGTATAACCTTATTTGTACTAAAATTTACACTACATAAATGATAATTATTTGGTTTACATTAAATTAGAAAACATTGATAAATTGGTTACAATAACAAAATATGTATCACGAGCCGAAAAAAAACGATATTTTTTTTCGGTTCAGTTCCGATTTTTGTTCCGACCGCAATGGTTTTTTCTTTGGGTTCGGCTGTGGTTCTAAGCTCTGGCTTCAGGTGCTATGGGGTGTTTTTTTTTTATATTTAATATAAAGTTTTGAAACTTTTTTGTTGTTTTGTGTATGTAGTATGTTTGACGATATTGCGCATGGAATAAGGATTCTAAATAAATAGCTATGCTTTAAAAAAAATCATCAAAGTTAGTCATGTTCGACTGTTTTTTGCTGTTTTAAAAGTATCCGACACACAAAAAAAATTGTAAAAATTAAAGATGTACTTGTAATTCCATTTCCAAGCGCACAGAATTGGTAGCAACTAACAAAGAAAAATCGTCCTAGAATATTAAAAAATTTAAGCTGTAGAAATTTTAAAATATTAATGTTTTTAAAATTTAAAATAATTTTTGTTTCAAAATGGTGTGTTCCTACTTAAATGTATATTGCATGTGTGTTAAAATAGGATTCTCTCTCTCTCATGTAAACATTTTTATATAAATATGCAAATAAAAAATGCACAAAGGGTTCCATTTCACCTTAAGAATTTTGAACTTTCAGAAGAATGAAAGCAAACTATAACGACCTCTTACTTTTTAAAATTATTATTAGGTCATATCTTAGCGAACAAATGCATATAGTGTAGCATCAATCCATTATGTTTTTTAATCGAAATCAAACATTTCAAGTATTTCTACACAGTTTACTAAATTTTAAATTTTTTTCTTGTTACATTTCTTTAAAAGAAAAAAAATGTTTTACAAAGTAAAAAAACTTATCTTTTTCAAATTAAAATGACTTGTTTTATCATATCTTGATTAACAGTATAACTTCCGTCGGCGTTGATTGGAAACCGGAACTCGTTTAGTTAGTTCTCCTTTCCGCTATTTTGAAGGAAATTTGAAAAAAATTTTGGTGACTATTAATCATTGTTCATGACGATTACACAGAAAAAGTTAATTAGGATAGATTTTGAAACTAATTATATTTAGAACGTCCACTGTTGTCGTTTCAACGCCAAAACAATTTATCATCATAAATAGATGTCGTTCAACAAAAAGATAGTTCACTAAGTACATACTATTAATAAAACAAACTCTACTCAAACTCAGTGACGCAGCAGGCCTACTGTACCGATACCAGTACACGTGACCATTGGGTACTAAGATGCATGAGCAGGTGTATCGATCAGGTGGTCAACCTAAAGCGAAACCCCCAATGTTTAAGTCCTCAAGCAAGCTTGGTACTCATTTGTCCACCCACTTCAGTAGGGATGAAAGGCTGATTCGACCTTGCCCAGCCCGGGAATAGATCAGGTACCTATGGAGTGGAAGCGCGATACGCTACCACTCGAGCACTAGGCCGTAGTAAGACAAACTTCCGGAAGTAATATCCAACATATATTTGACACTGAATGCAATGTTATTGGGCTCACAGTATAAATGTGTCAGTTATACTAAAACCGTTGTGTCTAAGAGAGTTTCGTTACATAGTATTTTCTTATCTGATCATAGTAAAACATTTATTCGCTTTTCGAACCTTGTACAGAGTAGACACCTTTTGAAACGATGACTCAAGAAAAAGGTATAAGCCCTGATGAAATTGCACATTTGTTGCGGGAGCTTTCTGAGAATGAATCGGATGGTGATTAGCTGTCAAGCTCTAATTTAAATTCCGATGAAGATGTAAGAATGGTTAAAAGTGACTGCGAAGAACCTGAAGAAAGTGCAGAAGTAATTAATAATATTCCAGTAAATCTTGATATACACTCATGGACCTAAAGGTTAGCGCACCAAGAAGGAGTCGTCAAAATGAAACGAAATTTTACATATGTAATGACTACTTTGAGATTAGTAAATGATTAGAAAATTAAAGAAAAAGGATTCTTTATTTCAGAGAAAAAGGCAAAAGAACGGAGGATTTAATACCCTGTTGAACCCCCTCTATCGCGAATGCATGATTTGATACGATCGGGCATTGAGGCATACAAGTTCTGTATGATGCATTGAGACATTTCATTCCATATTTGCTGTAACCTTGCATCTAGTTCGTTGAAACTCGTGGGATGCCTAACTCACCGCCTCAAATAATCCAGATAGGCTCGATTGGAGACAAATATGGGGATCGGGCAGGCCAAGGAAGGGTAGTAACAGTGCGGAGATAGTCTTGTGATACCCTTGTCGTGTGAGGCCGAGTATTGTCTTGTTAAAAAATGGCCCCTGGAAGTTGTTGCTTGAGTGGCAACACATGTGGTTGCAGAATGTCATAGACATACCGCTGGGCTGTCATGGTGCCACGGATCAATCCTAGGGGTGACCGTGTATTGTAGGCAATGGCACCCCATACCATCACACCAGCTGTGGGAGCCGAGTGTCGCTGTATGACAAAGGCAGGATTGAGGCGTTCACCACTGGGTCTCCACACACGAACACGATTGTCATCACTGCTGAGATTGAATCTGGATTCGTCGCTAAAGCCGATCTGGTTCCATTTTCAGTTTCCTCGTGTACGGCACCACTCTAAGCGGAGGCGTCAATGGGTTGGCGTAAAGGGCAGCACAAGTAATGGATGCCGTGATTCCAAATGTCCTTCAGCCAGGCGCCTTCGTAGGGTTTGATTAGACACAGACCCCTACTGAAGGTGCTACCTAGGCCTGGATGGTGGTCGATGAAGCAGTTGGCTGTGCGCCTGCACTTCTTACGATGTGGGGGTTTTGTCGACGACTGATCTGTCGAGGGCATCCTGAGCCTGGTCTTCGTGAAAATTACTTCTGTCGGATCCACTGGTCCCAACACCTCCTCACAACACAATTAGAGCGGCCTAATTGATGAGCTACTCGCCTAGCTGACCACCCAGCTTCCATCATATGCCGATGATTCTCTCCCTCTCAAACTGTGACAGCTGCTCATATTGTCTTCGAAACCAGCGTAATGGCATGTCTACATCAGCTCTTCCTTTGTGAACTATTCATCCCACTTAAACAAGCTTTGGTTTTACTTGTTTTATACTCCACGGAAAATGACGTTAAATTCCCTCTACTAACTGTACGTGATGCGCAATCACACTGCATTTCTAATAATTTTCATAACTCCCCGGCATGTGCCTTCATGCCAAGTTTTATTACGATCCCAAAATTATTTCTTGGTGCGCTAATTTTTTGTCCATGAGTGTATATGTTGCTGTGAATGGCTAAGAAGTGTTGCCGCATAATAGTAATGCTCCTGGCAGATTTGCAACTCAAAATGTTTAGCGATAAAACAGTGGTCTAACAAGCTTAGCGACATCAGTTTTTCATGATGAAAAAGGTCATGATATATGATTATTACATAAAGTAATATTATAAATCTTAAAACTTAATCCTACCAAACTGTAATCCAGCAATTATATTCATTTTCACACACACTACAATTATTTTATATATTTTATATCGCAGTGTCGAAACGACTTCGATGGAAGAGTAACTGAAATCTCCCTGATGTTCTAGTGTTAATAAGCACTACGATACAAAGAGTATGTGATATATTGCAGTAATATTTCTTTTAAACTTACATATATATGCTCTATAACAAGAAAAAAACCGCGCACCAAGAACCAGTTATCCGATAGAGAGAAAAATTGATGGGTTGAAAGATTACGTACAGAATGAAAAATTACTGAAATTTCAGCAAACTTTAATGATTTTTTCCAGAGTTACATAGCTACAAAGTAACGAGCTCAATTAGGAGTT